AAAAAAAATTTGAATAGATTAAATGCATATATAATTTTTTTTTTCCGCACGAAATATATTATAATAAACTCGCGCAGTTGTAATAAAATTCATTCTCATTTTGAGTTTAAATTTTCCTATGTTCACTGAAACATTTTAAACCTGATGTCAGTTTCACCAAAACCAGTAGTCACGTTATCCCAAAATGCAACGGTTATTCAAGAAACTCATTTTCAGCATATTCTGAAATCGCCTGCGGTTTCATATTGTATAGTGTATTTTATATATATATATAATATAAACGAATATCCTTGTGGATTTGATTCCGAATTCTCTCTCTATATATGAAGGTGTTATATATATGCGTTATATTTCATTCCGAATATTATTTGTAATTAATGTAAGTAATTATTAACTATATATAATATTTCTCAATAATTAAATTTTTTTTAATAATAATAATAATAATAATAATAATAACAGCCATAAAAATAATAATAATAGTAATAATAATTATTATTATTTTTTTTTTATTTTTATAATTTTTATTTTTTTTATCATTATAAATTTTTTTTTAATTATTATTATATCATTGATTTTGTCAAGTTTTACTAATATTTTTATTCTTTATATAAAACATAAAAAATAAATCATTGAGACAAAAAAAAAAAAGACGATAGCAATTGAGATTCGTTGCACGAAAAGGCTAAAAGAATTTTTTCATAAAGTTGTAAGAAGAATCCTCTTGAAAATATTTATAAGTTATTTGTAAATTCCTGACGATTTTTCAAAAACTTTTGTCATGAAATATTGCATATATATATATAGTATGAAACTGGAAATATCGAGAAAAATTTCAACATTTAAAAGATGAAATACATTTTTAAGAAAAATATAATAAATATTTTTGTGATTAAAAAATTGAAACATTTTTCTTAAAAAAAAAAGAAATTGACTATAAAATTTAAAATAAAAAAAAATAAAAAATTTACTTCTTATTAAAAATTTTATACCCTTCAAAATGTAATAAAATCGAATATTTTTAATTCTAGATTTATATTGGAAAATTTTCATCCTATAAATTATAAATGAAATACACCAATAATTTTATATAGAAAATTTTTGTAATGCTATTTATTATATTAACATTAAATTAATAATAATAACCAAAGAATTATTTATTTATATTATTTAATATAGGATAATATTATTATTATTTTCGTATTTATTAATAATAATATTTATTATTATTATTAATTAATTCAAATGACTTTAAATAATTCATTGAATCAACATAATTATAATTATTATTTAAATTTATAAATTAATTAACAAAAATTATTATTATCAAATCAAATGAAAATTGATTATTGTAAAATTGATGAAAAAAATTTTATTATAAATTTTCAAATATATTAGGATAAATTTTTATCATTTTTCAATAATTTGAAATTAAAAAAAAAAATATTTTTTTTTTACTAAAATCCATTAATAATCACACCCTCTCCCTCTTTCCATTGCCCCTTTTTTCGCACTGCCCAATTAACTCAAGTGAATTTTTACATTTTATGTAGTTTCTTTTAAAACTCATGATCCTCTATGAAACATAGTTTTTATTCCGATCGAGTGAAATTTTTAGACTATAAAAAAAAATCCAGTGTGCTGTAGCTGAAAACCATAAAATAATTTTACGCGTTAAGCTTTCTGCTCGTTATCTCTGGCTTTTTAGTAGCCAGTGTAATGTTTGACATTAAAAAAAAAAAAAAAAAAAAAAAATATGAAAAAATGTTATAACTACCACACACGTCATGTTCTGGCGTAAAGCCAGAAATAAAATTATTTCCACGACATTTTATACCTAATCGAGAAAATAACAATTATTATTATTAGTCTCTACACATGTCATCTTTTCCATTTTCTGCCTGTTGCACTTTTTGAAACATTAAACAAACGATTTATTCTTTTTTTTTTAAAAATAAATTCAGTTGAATAAATACAAAAAAAAAAAATATGAAAAATAATAAATAAATAATAAAAAAATATATGAAAAATGTAAGAAAATAATTAAATATTAATTAACTTTATATTTTCCAAAAAAAAAGGACAAAAGTAAAAATGACTTAAGGAAAAATGAGAAAATTGGAAAAGATCATTTGTCTGAAGTACATCCTCTTGGCAAACCATTAATTTACTGGACTTTCTATTGAAACAAACAACGAGACGAAAGAAAAAGTTCTCTTTTATTTTTTTTTTTTCTTATTCATTTTCTTATTTGAAATAGTCAAACGTTTCCAAAGGATGGCAAAAAAAAAAAGAGTAGCTTTAAAGAAAACACATAAAAATCAAGAAAAAAAAAGGAACTTAAAAGAAAACGAAATTATTTCACTCTTTTTCTTAGCAAGGCAGATATTTCAAATCTCCCTTTTTGCTTCAAAAGAAAAATATCTTTGTGTCTACAATTTTTTTTTCCCCCTCTAAAAGAAAAAAGAAAAGTTCCTTATTTAATGTTGTAATTAAATGCATATTCAGAATACTTCACCAATGAAAAATGTAAAAGTTTCACAAACTGTAAAAAAAAAAAGAAAGGAAAAGTTAACGATGAATGAGAAACGATGAGAAAAGAATAAAAAAATACAAAAAGAAAGTATATGCAAAAATAGAGTAAATTAAAAACAGAAGACAAGAAAATGGCAACTGAGAGATTCAATCTTATATAACAATTCACGAGATAAAATATAATTAAATTAAAAAAATTTTCACAATGTATAAAAAAATTATTTTTACCTCATTTTTATATTCCATATACCTAAGCAGTACGAATTTTTTTTTTTTTTAATTAATTAACTTAATTTAATAATTAATAATAATAATAATAATAATAAGTCCCACACTAATGTGCGTAAAGAAACTCTCCTAAACTTGTTTTGGAAAAAAAATAATAATAATAATAGTAACATTAAAATTAATATTAATATTAATTTAATAATTTAATTTTTTTATTCTAAAAATTTTGGAAAAGAAAATTTTTATTAAAAAAACGCTTGTTTCGCTTTTGTAATTTGCGTTTATTATTTTTTTTCCATGTAACTATATAGAAGAGGGCTTTTGTAAATTAATCTCAATTACAACCATGTCTCATGGACAGGATTTCATTATATGAATGTTTTTCAAGTTTAATGTGTCTAATGACACGTTCGTTTACAAAAGGTATAATGGAGAAATTATACAATCTGCAACATCAACAGCATTCAAAACAAGTCTTTAAAAAATTTTTTTTTTTTTCTATAATTAAAGAAAATTGTATAATTACAATTAAAATTTATTATTGGTCTTTTTAAAAAAAATAATGATTATACAATTATTTTTTTTTTTTACATTCAACTAATCAACATTATACACTGAAAGAAAAAAATTTATTTTGATTTAAATATAATCGGTTACTTGACTATTATCAAATAAAATATTTAGCAAATAATTTTTGAAACCAAATAATTGAATTAAATAAACTTTATTTGAACCAATATTTTTTTTTGTTTTAAAACAAATATCGTTTAATCGATTTAAATAAAAATTATTTAATTCAAGTAAATATTTATTTAATAATAGTCAAGTAATCGATTATTTGAATCAAATAAATTTTTTTTTCAGTTTAATCATAAATATTATTTATTTGTAATATATAATATTTATTTTTTATTTTATATTACAATAATATTTATTTAATCTGATAAGTAAATTATTTTTCATTAAAATATTCTTTATAATTTATATTAGTTATATTTATTATAATAAAATTATTTATATTTATATTTATTAAAATAATTTTTTTAATTTCAATTTTTAAAAAAAGTATAAAAAAATAACGGTTTTCTTTTGCAAAAAAAAAATTTTTTTTCACATTTTTTTGACGCATTTACACAAGCGTCTGACCACATGCAGTTAATACTGCTGATTCAATTTCAAATCGGATGGAGTGGATTTTTTTTTTTTTTTTTTTGAAAGCAGTAAAGGGAAATAGTTTCCCTTTGTAGGTAATCTGTTTTAGTTTTGGCCCCAAAAGAAAACACGAATTTGCTTTTCCTGTTTCAATTTTCTCATGCAATGCCTGACTAAAATCCCCTTATACTACTTGCCGCCCACGAAATCGATATCAGTCGTCTCTTCAAAGACTTGTCTGACCACACCTGATTTTTTCTACTGACATTTCTCTTTTTTTTACATTTGATTTTTATATTATTAATTGCGCAATTTTTTTTTTACAATTTAGAAATATTTTATTTATTCTAGAAAATGAATTGCATAAAATGAAAAAAAATCAAATTGTATAAAATAAAAAAAATCGAATTGTATAAAAGAAAAAAATCGAATTGTATAAAATAAAAAAAAATCAAATTTATTGTATAAAATAAAAAAAAATCGAATTTTATAGAATAAACAAAAATTATTGTACAAAAAATATTTATTGTATAAAAATTCCTTGAATATTTATAAATATTTATTTATTTATATTTATAAATATTTATATTGAGTGAAAATTACTGTACTAATAAAAAATACTCCTACTTTATTTTTTTTTGATTTAATTAAGCAGAAGCGATAAAAAAAATTGAATTAAAATATACTCAATAGTGAAGAAAATAATTTATTAAATAATATCGTAAATTATAAATTATTTATTATTATTATTTAATTATTTTGGTAATAAATTAATTAATTAGAGTAATAAATAAATTTTTGTAATAAATTGTTAATTAATTATTACAATAAATAAATTAATGTAATTAATTATTAATTAATTACTAATGTTATTCTACACTAATTAAATTTTTTTTTACTAATATTTATTATTAATTACTGCTAATTATTGGATTATTTTTTTCAACTATTATTTTATTAAAAAATTTTTAACACTATTTATTTATTTATTTATTTATATATTTATTTATTTATTTATTTATTGTAGTAAAATAATTTTTTTTTAAAGTGAAAATAAATATTAATAAATTTTTTTTTTCTTTCAGCTCCTCCACAAACGGTTGAAATTATCAGTCATCCACATTTGGATAAAATAGAAATAAAAGCTGGCGATACATTAACAATGGAATGTGCAGTGCGAATGGCTAAACCAGCTGCTACCATAATTTGGTATCGAGAAAATGTTCCAATCAAAGGAGGTGATGTCAACATCGATTCAATACCAGTTTCCGATGGTAAGATATTTGTAAACATTTAATTAAAAATTATCAAAAAAAAAAAAATTATTTACATAATATTATAATTAGTAATTTAAAATACATGAAAATTGGAAATTAATTTTTAATTTTATTTTTCAACAATTTTTCCAGACGATATGATTATGAACGCCTTTTGCTTGCCTTCTTGTGGTTTTTCTAAAAAAAAAATAAAAAATAAACTCACGATATTGGAAATCTTCGTTAGTGTGTGGCGATAGAAAAGATTAAAACTAGTAATACTTTTTCTTTTGATGTTTCATTAACACGAATGGGCGAGGATTTCCACTGGCTTGAGTTAATTCGACCCAAGAGATGACCAACGATTGCAATGTATAGCGAGAGAGAGAGAGAGAGAAAAAAAGGTGGAAAAGTTGATTTTGGACTCTGGAACCGAGCCAGACTTACGTGCCGACCAATTGATCGTGGATATAGAATAGAATCCCTATTCATTTTTTTTTTTGCGATATGTGGATTTTTATTCATCATACCCATTTTATTTTTTTTTTTGGGAGGATTTTTATTGATTTTTCTCTACGGCTTTAAATTAGATATACGTGAAATTACTTCAGTTGGCTTTGAGAAATAATAGAGCAATCTATTTTTGCCAGCTTAGCTTTCACTGTGAGAAACTTTCAGTTTTGTCTCTTTTCGATATTTTATTATCTTCATAAAAACCTATCAGTGATTTATTTTATTGAAAGTTAAAAACTTAAAGAGAGAATTGAAGAAATAGCTCCACACTGAAATCTGATATTTTCAATGAAAAGAAGAAAAAAAAATTTTTAATTGACTTTTTCCTTCTATCACTTTGATATTTAACAATCTTTCAATTTATTTTTGGTATTATGAATTTAGAATAAAATAAAATTTTCACGTGGAGAAATGAAAATATTTTTCCATCAAGAAAAAGTTTTTGGCAAAAATTCTTAAGCTAGCAATGTTTGATGGCTCCTAGCATTTTCGTCTCAAATCGTGATATAAAAGAAAGGACAAATGCTCACAAACCAGTAAAAGCTTCTGCCCCGGAGGCTTTTAGCTGAGATTTAAGTGGTCCCCAACAACTGTTTTCTGTTGTACGTTAAACTTTCCCATTTACAGAACACGTTACAAGCACTCCTCTCTCTTAAAATTTATAGCTTTACTAATAATTCACAACACATTTTTATTTTTCACATTTATCTTCAAATTGTTTTACATTCGATTTTTTTTTAACTCAAAAAAAAAAAGAAATTTTTTTGAAAAATTTAGTAATTAACTTTTTAAGAACGAAATTTTCTTTTTTTAATTGAACAGTAAAATTAATGAATATAAAAAAAAGAAACAATTATAACAGAGAAAAATTAAAAGTCATGTGTGGATAATTACATTTTTTTTATAATGTCAAGAGAAAAGATACAATTGAGCAAAAAATAAATGTTTCTCATACTCTCTTGCAAAAGGTAGAGCGAAATTAAAAATTTAATAGAGAAGTAATATTTCGCGAAAGGGTTGACAAATTGACGAACAGTGTTTTTTTTCCCCCCCGAAGCAACACGGGAAACCATTTCTCATTTTACTTGCGTCTCTCATAAAAATATCACATTCTCTCTCTAGCTATTGTCTATTAAAATAAATTTATCGACAATTTCTGCGAGGTTTTTTTTTTACAAAAATAACAATGGTAATGTAATTCCATTTTTTTTATTAATAATGTTCGTTTTTACTTTTGATTTTTCAGACAAAGAAATATTAAAGGATCAGGGTAATAAGAAGAAACCAATGAAATTTGACACATCTGGATCATTGACTATTACTCCATCTCCTGAAGATGATGAAATGAGTTATACCTGTGAAGCAAGACATCCTGCTATTGGAATTGATAGACCAATGAGAGCAACTGTCAAATTATCTGTTTTCTGTAAGTTTTGAGAAATTTTATTTTTATTCATTCTTTTGGTTACTAATTTTCAATTTTTCGAAAATAAATAAATTTTTAAATTATATAAATAATAAATTAATTAAATACATTTTTTTTTGTCGAAGACGGAAATAAATATTTGTTTCAAATAAATTATATTTGGTTTTAAATAGAAATTTCCGGAACGTAATGTTTCCATTTTTTTAATAGAAAAAGAATTTTTATTAATTTTTGATTCATTAATTTTTAAATTTATTTTTCTAATTTTAATTTAATCAGCTTTGTCACGGATCAGGGAATTTTAATAATAGAAAAATTTCAAAATTTCTAAAAATTCTACTAAAATTATAATTTTTGCAATTTTCAATTCAAATTTTTGCTTCTAAAATTGTCTTACTTTTACAAAAATTGAAAATCCCTTTGAATTTTTTTATTCGAGTCAGGGAAAAAATTTAAATGACTGAAAAAGTGGGACAAACAAAATAAAATATTTGTGGCAGTAAATTGAATTTTTAATTCTTTTCTAATTTTTGATTTTTTTTTATCACAATTTTAAAAAAGCCTTCCTATCAATTAAAAACGACCTCTCTTGATGTTTACAATAATTTCATTTTAATTAAAATATCTCGAGGCATTGTTTTTTTTTATACAGTTGAAAGCAAATAATTTTATTCGCTTAAAAGTTTAAATTCCAAGAATTTACATTAAAAGCTTAATAATTAAACAAACATTATTCAATTACTAAACCAAAAAAAGTTAGTTATTTAATTTAATGTGAATTAAGAAAATAAAATGAAAATATATCCGCTATTAAAAATGGAAAAAAAAATTGTCGATAGGGAAAAAAAATTTGAAAAGTATATTTGCAGTTGGCAAATTGTAGTTTTTATTTTAAAGAACAGGTCATTCATAAATTCAAGTTTCATTTATAATCGAGTGGTGTGGTCGTTTGTCCGTGTCAGTTGAAAAATAAAGTTATTTCTCTCTCTTTTTCTATTTTTTATATCTATATATATATATATATATACTTTCTCAACAGATCCTCCCGGACCACCTCAGATAGAAGGCTACACCGAAGGGGAAACTCTTCAACGTAGACAGCAAGTTCAATTGGTGTGCAAGTCTCTAGGTGGCAATCCACCCGCACAGGTCGTTTGGTTTAGAAACGGTGAGCAAATAAATTCGGCTTACCGTACTGAGGGCCGAACATCGCAGAATACACAAACTTTTTTGGCTCAAGCACAGGACAACAAAGCACGATACACGTGCGAAGTCTCAAATATCATGAGTGTTCAACCAATGAAAGCTCACGTCGATCTCACTGTTCTTTGTAAGTCGAAAACAAAAAAAACTGTTTCTTTCTTTTTCAAACATTTTTTTTTTCTTCTTTTTCAAATAATTTTTTTATTATTTTCTCATTTTGCAAAAAAAATTTAATTTAGCTAATATTCTCTTTTTCTTTTTGTTTCATACAGTTGCTCCCAGTGGTGTGAAAATATCCGGACCAACCGAAGCGAAAGCAGATGAAAAAGTTGTAATAACTTGTACGACGGAAAATTCAAATCCAACTGCAGAAATAAAATGGACAATAGATAAGCATATTATTTTGAATATGACGTCGAGAACTGAAATTGCGCCAGAAGGTGGTTTTATCACAAGTTCTAATGTTACATTTGCCATTAACAAAGCCGCTCAGAAGGTCGTTGCAATCTGCCAGGCACTAAACCAAAAGCTCACTGAGACCATTGTGGGAACACATACAATTAACGTGATTTGTAAGTTCATGTAGATAATGAAATTAGCCCTCAGAAATCTTGTTAATTTGTTTAGAATCCAATTATTTATGCTCTAATTTTATTTACACATTAAATATATTTTTTTATTTTAAAAATTTTATTTTAATTTAAAAAAATAAATATGTTTTTTTTTAAAGATCCGCCATCACATTTACGAATCACTGGCTATGAAGAAGGTACAACGATACAGGCGGGAAATGTTTTAAAATTGGCTTGTTCAGTAACATCAGGAAATCCACAGCCAACAATAACGTGGTATAAGAACGAGCAGAAGGTACGTAATGAGGTAAATTCATTTCTTTTCTACTAATTGTCTCAAAGTTGTTTTTTTAGTAAAAATTCCCATACTAATTGGAACTAACCAATATTTATTGGACTTTAAAACAAATTTTTATATGCAAATTACAAGGTTTGTAATTTAGTAATTTCAATAATTTTTTTACTTTTTCATTCGAAATTTTTGTTAATTACATATTTATTATTTTTTTATATTCTATGATTAATTTATTAAATGAAGATTAAATATTTTATTATTTCTAATAAATTTTTGTTCTTCAATTTATTATTAATTTTATGAAGCTTCTTATTAAATTTTAGTTATTAGTTTCAATTATAACCGCAATATATAGCTTCAATTAAATTATAATTTATCAGTAGAACCTTACCTGAATCCTCATATATTGATTTTGTGTTCATCCCTCCTGCGTCTAATCTCGTCTCATTAAACTATAACCATAAATCTATTTTAGGTACCTGATATAGTCAGGCATCACGAACACATTGTCACAAATGAACTTGCTCTCTTAATCAACGCCTCGGACAACAAGGCTCATGTTAAATGCGAGGCAACCAATTCAGCAACGAAATTTCCCATGTCACAAAAATTAATCCTCAAAGTTCTCTGTAAGTTTAAAAATTAATTTTTGGGAAAAAAAATTTAATTTTTAATTTTATGAATTAGAAATTATTAATTTTAAATTAATTTTAAATTAATTTTAAATTAATTTTAAATTAATACATAATTTAAATATAATAAGGATAAATTTAAAAAAATATCGAATTTTAAAAAGGGATATTTTTTTAAAATAGATAATGATTTTGTTTTTTTTTTGTCGCAGTTCCTCCGGATAAAGTGAAAATAACAACAGATCCAAAATTATTTGAAGCCGGTGGTTCAGGAAAGTTAATATGCGAATCAAGTAGCAGTAATCCTGCGGCTGAAATGTCCTGGTGGATGGGAGGAATACCTGTCGATGGCACTGAAAATTCAACAAAACCAGGTCTTCACGGTGGATATGTTTCAATTGTCACACTACCTTTAGACTTTAAGGAATCTATGAACGGCAATGTTTATACATGTCAGGCGAGAAACGCCGCTATGGAGAGATCTGTTCACGATGCAATTACACTAAATATTCTTTGTGAGTAATTTTTTTTTTTTTTTGTATCTTAATTTAACAAAAATTGAAAAAAATGCCAGAAAAATTCATAATTAATAACTTAAAAAATAAATATAACTTCAATATTTAAATAATAATTTCATTGATTTAGACAATAATTAATTTTTTTGAATTTGAGCAGTAATATTTAATTTTTGAATATCTATTTTCTAGATAAGCCAATTTTCACAAATCCAGAAACGAGTGAATTAATAGGAATGGAAAATGAACCGTATATTATAACATTGCAAACAAGAGCAAATCCAACGAAAGTAACTTACACTTGGACACGAGATGGATTACATCTTCCTGATAAAGGAAGAAGAATGACAGCTCGAGGGCCTACATTGAATATCACAAGACTCGAGCGATTGGACTCGGGTAGTTACGTGTGTGAAGCAATGAACGACAAAGGAACCACATTTTATCATTTAAATTTAACAGTTCAATGTGAGTTTTAACTAAATGAATTAATCAAATAATTTCAAAAAGAAAAATATTATAAAAATTGAAATTTCAAAATAAATTTGATAATCATTGTTTTTCTTTAGATCCTGCAAAAATTTCAAGGACATCAACATCTGGCGTTATTTATCCACCAGGAAAAGAAGCGAAACTTTTTTGTGAAGTTGATGGAAGTCCAATGGGTGAGGAATATATCACGTGGTACAAAGCTGGAACGAGTATTGAAGTCTTTGGGAAATATTCACTTTCATATGTGAATAAGACGTCATTTCTTCATATTGAAAATCCAGGAAGAGATGATGTAGGCGAATATCAATGTAACGTTAACAATGGAATTGGAAATGTTACATCAAGTCCAATATTATTTATCACAAATTGTAAGTAATTATTTTTATGCAATTATTTCCATTTCATTCATTCTTTTGTTCGTTTATTTTATATTATATGTTCTTTTTTTTTTGTATTTATTTTGTTTCATTTACAATTTATTATTTCTCATATGTATGTACATTTCTTTTATATTTATTTTGTTATGTCGACAATAAATGTGAATGCTCCAAAATTGGAAAAATTTTCATTTTTAATTTATTCACGAGTGAATAATCAAATGGTTAATTTATTTTTCGTTAAAAAAAAAAAATATTTAACAAATATTCATGAAATTTATATTTTTCATTATCATCGTCAGACAGAATATTCGAAATCAATAAATTAAAAATAATATAAAAACAAACGAATGAAAAATAAAAATAATCTTAATTTTTCCAGTCTTTAATTTTGTCAGTCATTTAAAATTTCATATTTTTCTATTCTTTTTTTAATTTAATGTAATTTTTTATTTTATCATATTTTCAGTCATTCCGGAAATGGCGAACTCGCCACTGACAAGAAAAGCAGCCGCCGTTAGGGGAGTGAACGCGCAACTTTTTTGTAAAGCACGTGGATCTCCTTTACCGGAATTTTTATGGTATTTCAATGGAAAAGCACTTTCGCCTAATCTCACTGAATATAAATACGGCTTTACGTCAAGTAACGTGAGTTTTTCTTTTAAATCGTCTTATTTTAAATACGACTTTAAAAAAAAAGAAATATTTTCTATTCTTTCCTCTCGTTTTTTTTTTTAGTTATCCGAACTCTATGCACAATCGGTATTGACAGTGAATCGTGTCATGCAATACGATTATGGAAAATATAAATGTCTAGCTCGTAATAAAATGGGCGAAAATCAAGAATTAATTCAATTAGATGTCACATCACCGCCAGATCAACCATCGGATTTGGAAGTTTATAATGTAACACACGATTCGGTTATGTTAATTTGGAAACGAGGTTTTGATGGTGGATTGCCGACATCGCATCAAATTCGTTGGCGTCAAGCACTCGACAATGAAGAACGTTATCATTATTTGGATGTGTCACCGGGAGATTATAAAGCACTTATCACTGGTCTTTCATTGGGAACGTATTATGTCTTTAGTATTAAAGCCATGAATTCAAAAGGCGATAGTCATTTCTTGCCGGATCTAGTCAAAGTTCAAACACTTCGTAAGTACCATTTTTTTTTATGTTTTGTTGTGTAGTTTATTTTTTCTTTTGAAATATTTTAGAGTAAAAAAAGTAATTAAAGCAAAAAAATTGATTTTTTTTCTCTTTTTTTTTGTGCAAAAATCAATGTTTGACTAATCATATGTTTTTGAGAAATTAGTAGCACTATTATTAGAGAGAAACATCACCTATCTTTCCATGTAATGACACTTCCTGAAATCATAAACAATGTCTTGCATGATTACACGCGTACGTTCGCATACTAAATCATCGCCGAATCCCAAATTAACTCTTCATCTAGATAAAGCGCTAAATTACAGAGGGTATTTCGCAAGTTTTATAATCAATTTTTCATTATATAGTTTCCGCCGTGAAATGAGAATCTATTTTTCTGGGTTTAATTAAAAAAAAAAAAAAAAAAAATCACTCTTCTATATAAGAAAATAAAAGTAAATTATTTCTTCGTTTTTAATACCTTGATTTAATGTCTCGATTTAATAAAATTATTTTTCAATTTTTAAAAGCAAAAATAACTCATTTCTAAAGTATAAATAAAACAAAATAATTTTTTTTTTTGCATTTGGAATAAATAATTGAAAATTCAATAATGATTTTACACGAGCAATTTAATCGCAAATGGCAAATATTAACAAATACGTTTGAAAAGTAATTATATTGGTAAATTTGTTGGAAAATTAATCTATATATATATATATAATGGATTAGTGAGTGAACTAACGAATTAGTGACGCATTGCATGAATAACATCCAGGGTGACGGGGCTATTGGCTTGGGTTACAGGTGAAGCACCACCCACTGAGTTGACAGTCAGCGAGATTAATTCCTCCTACATGATCATCATTATCATCGCTGTTTCCGTCTCTGCTTGTCTCGCCATTGCTACGCCCATTGTTTATACTTCATTAGTGTCAAAAAAGAAGGCTCAACGTGCCGGTAATTATCATTATTCATTACATTAGTTTTTTTTTTCTTTTTTCCATATCTCAATAGTGCCAAATAATGCTGAGAATGTACCTGAAGTCCTATTGGAAAGAGGTGACATCCCTCTCAATTATATCTATACAGTAGCAGCAACGTCAATCGTCTTTTTTATTATTAATCTCTTCGTCATGTTGTGGTATATTGTCAGAAAGAGAAATAAAACTCGTAAGTTATTATAATTCAAATATATATATATATTGATATATCATTCAGACTTTGAATTATTTTCATATTAAAAAAGTTAAAATTCTCTTTTTTTTGATAATGTTAAGAGAGAATTCATTAATTAGCTAATTAAGTAACTAATTACTCAGTCTAAACTGAATTGTGTCAATGTTGGAGGAGTTGTCCGGGATATCATTTTCCCCGGACAGAGGTTGTATACAGTAATTTATTAATTAATTAATTAGAACAAGAGAAGTGTCAATGTAAAGAGAGAATTGTTTGAAGATTTCCATAATTTATATAGAGGAACTGTCCAAAAAAAAAGTCATTAATCAATTTATTATTTTAGGACAATTATTTGGAATTTAGATGGACAGAAGTGTTATAAACGATCCCTTTTCAATACAAATACTGGCTTCAGTTTGTTAATTGATTAATTAAGCAATTATTTGAAGTTGAGTGAATATCTGGGCTGAATAGATTGATTCATTCAGTATATAGTTAATTATTTCAACTTTAGAAAAGAATGAATCAAAAAAAAGATTTATATATAATTTTTAAATAATATTCTTTTTCAAATCTAATATTTTGAGCTAGATAATAATTAAATTAATCGAATGGAAATTCGATAAACATCAAAGACGATATAATAATAATAATTCTGAGTCTGATGAAATTTTCTCGTTCGATGAATAATTAAGATGTTATTTTAGTTGATTGAGTCAATAATAATTTCTAAGGATTATAATTTAAATTGAATTTTGTATTAATTTGGAATTTTTTTTTTATTCTTTTTACAGGAATAAATAAATCGCATACGGCAGATATGTACGCACCGTCAACAGTGAATGGTGACACGATAACCGGTGAATTAAGTTCAGTATCGGATGAGAAGAGTGACGTGAATTTCGACGCTAATGATTATGTGGTCAGTGCGATCAGTCAGTATGTTCTTAGTAACAAATAATTCCGGAGGGTAGGTTTGTGTTCTGTTAACCCTTTTCTGTTCCTCCCTTTTTTTTCTAATTTCCTCCGGTCTTTTTTTTATTAAATTTTTCACCCCTCCACATCCTGAATCCGAATTTTTGGTTATTTAAATTTATTTTTTTAGTTACGTGACTGTTGAAATAAAAAATTAAATAATTTTAATTTTATTATTTTTCAATTGTATTTTACAGTCATTCTAAGTAGGTTGGACTATAATTGTAAGGGGGGTTTTTTTATTTAGTAATTTTTGAATGAGTAAATTTTATTTATTTTGAAATTTACAGGATGAAGGACGAAAAACGGCAGCTAGTACCTATTTGATTGATTCCGGTATGCAGGATTATGGAAAAAGTAGTTTAGAAATGCAGGTACATCATCAAGGTACATTAAGCCGTCGCAATCATGTTCCTAGTGTTATGAATATGGATTCACCGCCACAACGAACAACAGCAAGCGGTACACTCTCGGGTGCGTCATCTACAACTGCTACTCATCTCGAGAATAGGTGCCAAAAAACCTCTCAAGTTTATCGCTCTTTGTGTCTTCTCATGTTGGCCATAATATTACCTCTTTTTCTATACCAAATAACAAAAATAATTTTCATTAAAAAAATTTCCATTTCTAAAAAAAAATCTACTTTTTCGATTTAAAAATTTTAATGAGAAATATTCCTGAAATAATTTCGAAACACAGACTGTTGAATGAATTTATGTCAGTAAAAATATTTTTCCTACAAAGAAACAGTTTGATAAATATAGTTAAAATATATTTGAAGCATGATTGTTTATGATCTATTTTATAATTCATATTAATTCACTTGATGCATGGCATTTAGCATGCAAAACACAGATCATTATTCATTCATTTTTTTTTTTCATTCATTCGCAGTCTGATCAATTTTTAATGTCCCCCTACCCTCATAAATTTCATTTATTGTTAAATTCAATAATGCACAATGATAAAAAGAATTTAATTATTTTTACAAGGAGATTCAATGGATTTAATATTGTATATAAAAATCTTTTTTCTAAGCATATCATTAGCATGAAAAAGAATAAGTTGGCACAACAAGGAGGGCACGTGAGCTGAAAAATGCTTGTGGGGTTTTTATTTTTTCTTGCATGTCTGTTTTGTTAGAAAAAATGGCATTTTGTCTTTCATCTAGCATTACGACAAGCACTTTTAAGCACCAGAAAAAAATTTTTGTCTATTAATTTAAAAAATTTTAAGAATTACAATATTTGTTTAAATATTCGATTATTTAATAATTATTTAATACTAATTAATTTAATAATATTAAAAAAATTGCAATTTCAGCCTCGAAGTCGAGTTATATAGGGAATCCGAGTCCAGCCCCACCTTCCGAAGTAAACTTCTACAGTGTGGAGATGGACAATGGCCTCTTTATGGGATATGAAGTTGACTCAAGCCCGGGCCCAATAATGGGGGATCCGGGTCCGGGTGCCTATTATCCTTCCCTAGGATCCATTGGACACATGGGTCCATTAACAACAGTGATGACAGGAACAGGGACGTTAAATCGAAACAGAACACTTCCGCGGCCAGTCCCCCCCCCAGACGTCACTGTTATGACTGCAGGAATAAAGTCGCAACTACCGCCTTCGGTACCCCCCCCGCCAGCTACATTTGCACGTGCGGCCCACATCCCCGTCAATTCCCACGGGCACCCATTGTCAACTTTCACATCGACACCAACATATTCTGATATCGATGGTCATCTTGTCTGAAACATGGACACATTAAGATCAAATAAGAAGAAGAAAGTATCTACCTGTCCCTCTGATAATTATACTCAACTCAGCCCAAAAGAGTGCACTCGCCTATAGATAAAAAAAAAAAAAAGAAGAGAAAAAGATTGTTTATAGTAATTATCTTTTAAGTCAGTGGTGATCCCTCCTTCGCTATATTAAAAATTATTAAATATATATATATATATATATAAATTTTAAGTAATTTGACACACAATTTTTGTGAGCGACGATTTCAAAAATCGTTACTCTCAATTTGTCGTGTCATTAATGTATATTTTGTATAGAACAAAAAAAAAAATCCTCGTTTTGTATAGGAAAAAAAACTAACTGTAAATGACGATTCTGATGAATCGAAAAAAAAATTCATTCCTTGATTCAAGTTTTTGAAATCAAAATTTCTTTTTTTGAATTTTTATACAAAAAACATCATTCCCTTTTTTATATTCTGAATCTTTTTTTTTTTTTTTGATTCAAATCAATTTATCAGTGCTTGATATTGCATACTATTTTTTTCTTTAGTTTATAAGTTTGTATAAATGTAATAACCTATTAATAGTTGTTTATCTAATTAAATAATTTGTTAATATTAGAAATGTTATTTCTTTGTTAATTAGAATTAAAAATTCCCTCCCCAAAAAAATAGGACTTAATTTCAAGCACTGAAATTCAATTTTTTAATCGATATTCTTAAAGTCAATATTACTATCAAAATAATGGAAAAAAAACTGATCTAAATCTCTAATAGACTTTTTGCCTTTTATGGATCAAAGTGTATATCAAATTTTTACTTCTATAAAAATAATTCCCAACCCCCAAAAAAAAGTAAGGCTTTAAAAATATCTGCATTTATTCTGCACAAATTTATTCTTGTGAAAAAATTAAATTTTTTTCACGCATTTTTATTAAAAAAAAAAAAACAAACAAACAAAGACTCGAAAGTGATTGTTTATACGACACTACATCTTTGAAAAGACAATAGCTCGTAAGTTTTGTTGTGATGATTTTTAGTTTTTTTTCTTATGCTCACTGGCAAAGCCAAAAATTAAAAAAAAAAAAATGCAAATAATGAGAAAAAGTCGAAAATTTTAGCTTTTCACAGTGAATATTTATTTTTTTTTTTTTGTTGATCTTTACTAAATTGTAAATAAATTATTATTATTAATTATTCATATTTCTCACACTCGGCAAACTAATTCAAATGGATCATATGAGGGTCTCACTAAATGCTGTAGCCTATTTAAAAATAATAATAATAATAATTGAGAATGTGCTGATAAAACGTTTAGAATTTAGTGTAAATTTTTTGATGAAATTGTTCGAATTATTGAGAATGAAACGTGTTTCCGTTTGTTGAAAGCCTAAGTAGTTGAAATATATTTTTGAAAAATGAAAACGTAAAATATATATTCTCTATATGTTTGGCCTATTTCTAAAAAAAAAACATTTTTTAAGTAGGTAACACATTATCATTTTTTTTTAAAAACATTTTTAAAAACATTTTTAAAAATAGTGATTTTTTAACAAATTTTCTGTAACAATTAATTATTTTACAAAATATCGAATTCTATATAATTTAAAAAAAATCGTTACACACACAAAAATGTGTTACATGCTTAAATATGTTTAAAAAAAAAAAAAAATTTGATAAGCCGTGTTTACGTAGCGTATGCCATTGTTGTTTGATTATTGTCCTGATGATTTGTTATACTGTAGAGTTTAACAAGCTTAAAAAAAAAAAATGTGTATTGTTATCTGCTGTTACGTGTGGAGCCGCGGAGACCGGCTTAGACTGATGATATTAAAATTAAACGTATGCTCAATTAGAGGACATGTTCGCGCATAATTAAGAATTCTATTTACATATACATGTTTTATATTTGTAATTAAAAAAAAAACAAAAAAATCATCTAATCTTAAATATTACCTGAAGAATTATTATAATAGATAATTATGTAATCTCCAAAGTATTTGCTCATCAAAGTGCTAAACTTGTTAAGAAAAAAAAAGGAGAAAAGAAAATAGGACCGATATTCGTCCAAAAAAAAAAAAATAGTACCTTGGAGATGGACATACCATCTAGCCGCACGATATTTCATATTTTACATATATATTATAAATATATATAATAAACTCATAATTCCGTTGATTATTCTAAGACATAGTCAATCCTAATTAAACAATCACTAAGAATATGACATTGAATTAATTGACGTAATTTTTTGTATATATTGTAAATAATTTCTAGATAGATATGAAATTAAATTACATTACGAATTATATCAGCTGCGGGGGAGTTTAACAAAATCGAGAGCTTTATTAAACATGTCGCTGTTTTTATTATTTGTTTCTTTTTTTGAAGTATTCACTAACAGTGATGATTCAATTTTCTTCAAGTAATTGTGGTATTTATTTTTTAAATTTTTTCCTCATCTGTGATTGTCTAAAGGAAACAAATTAAATTTTAAAAAAAATGCAAAAGATAACAAATTTAGAAAATATAAAAGCAAACAAATAAAAAATAAAAGTAAAGACTTTTTAAAATAAAGAAAGAATATAAAACAAGGACACGAAAACTAATTCAATTACTTCTCTTCGTGTGACAAAAAAAGGGGGGAAAAAAATTAACAATCATCACTATTATTGAATATGAAAAAAAATATTCACATTTTGTAAAGAATAAACAAAAGCTCCTCGATCGATGTAATATATATTTAAAGATCAATCGCACATTAATTGTACATATAAATAGTATTTTTACATTCTAATTCTAAATTCAAATTCCAAATCTAAATGGTACGGTACTCTGTGTGCTTCGCCTGTCGTCTTTGCACTACTGAATGAGATTAAAAAAAAAAATTTTCATCGCAAATGTCAAAAAAAAAAAAAAATAATAATAATAATAATAAAACGAGCACATGTTGTACGATTCTCAATATATGCGTTTTACATTTTGCAAATGAAAAAAATAATTTCTCAATAATGTACTTAAGTGTATTTTTAATTATTGTGACGCAGCGAATCACAGAGATTCGTTGAAAACCACATATTTTTCATTTTGCTGCGAAAATGTATATTTTTGTATGTCCCAAGTTTTCCTGCAAAAAAACAAAAAAAAAAGGAATTCTTATAATAGTGATCTCAAAATACGTTAGAAGTTTCCTAAGCAGTCGTGTTGAACTTTATTTTCAAATTCTAAAATGGAATTTTGTTCTCTTGACAAAAAAAAGATTTTTGTAATAAATTGAACATTTGACAAATTTCAAAATGAAGCTGGTTAAATTAAATTGAAAATTTTTAAAAATAGTTTCTCTATAAATAATAGTTGTCTGATATTTTGGTTTCTACGATTTGATAATAGAATTCTGACATTTTGATTTAGAAGAAAAAATTATGAAAAAAAAAACAATTTTTGTTAGACATGCGATTATCATAATTGACAAATATTTTGCTGAAAAGAAAGATTAAACATAAATTTATATTTTAATTAATAATTTCAATTATAAATAAAAAATTTTATATATTTATTTAAATTATAATAATATTTACAATAATTAATAAATAAAACATAAATTTATGTTTCATTATAAGAAAATTTTTTTTCAATATTCAACAAAAATTTCTTTTGTCGTTTTGATTATCGTAATCCTCTAATTCGAAAAATAGTGTACAAAAACAGAATTATATTGATATAGCTTTTTAAAAAAAAACAGCTTCTCAATTTGAAAATGCTCAAATTCAAGAAACTATAAATATATTAGCTCATTTTTTCAGCTAATTGTACACTCTAAATGTAAAACTTTAAAAAAAAAAATTGTTCATGAAAAAATAATAGTGATAAAAAAAAAATTTGTGTTTTTGAAATTTATACTAAATATTTAAAAAAATTTAATGATTGTTGGATATCAGTATGTTGCTCATTAACGAGAGAGAAAGAATGAAAAAATGAAAGAGAGAAAAAAAGGAAAGAAAGGAAAAAAAAAATTATTGAGAAAATGAGAAAAAGAGAACATTTTCAAAGTATGTATGCACGGAGGCAGAGTGAAGCTCAACACGCTAGTCCTTAATTTAAAACCAAAGTAAAAAAAAAAATAAATAAATAAATAAAAAAAAAATAATTGAAAATTACGTAGCTTGTAAGAATCTCCATTATAAGTATATACACTTTTTGTGTCTATACAAAAAAAAAATAAATACATTACCGATTCAATCACTGTAAGTACATAAGCGACTACATTAAGCAGCTAAGTAATAGTAAAAAAAAGAATCACTCATTAATATGTACCAATTTTTCATTTAACTTGATTCTTTATTCATTGTACAACATTATCGACATTTTTACCTAGACTTCTTGTGTTAATAATACAAATTCTGTATCTGTACATTGGTTTTTCTATATTGCGAACAATTAAAAAATTGATTGTAAACTTATATATATATAAAAAAAAATTGCTTTCTTTATTTTTAAATTCCAAATAATTACCCAAATCGAATTTTTATTTTTAAAAATACATTAAAAATAAAAAATATAGTGTTTCTTTTACTTACAAGTTAAAAATTTTTAAATAATAATAAGTGAAATAATATTTAAATTTAAATATGAATATTATAATTTCGAAGAATTCTAAATGTTTTGAAACGATTTTGGAATTATATTACCTTTCTACCTGAATATCAAACTGTATGTTTATACAAAGTGAACAATAATCCCAAGGTCATAAACAATAGGGTGGGAAAACTTTTAAAGATAATTCAGTTTCAATTCGTGTATTGACCTGTTAAGACCTAATTAAAGTGAACATAAATTTTGTAATTGTAAAAGAAAAAATTAATTTTCTTTCTTATTTAGAATTGTTATTTTTTTTTAATTTTTTCAAAATTAAAATGTAACTTCGGGAGTGCTCGAATTTTTTTAAATTGCGAACGAAAAAATTTCAAAAGTGTTTTAAATTATTTTTGCCTTAGAAATTTTTTTTTTTTTGTTCCCGGGAGTGATCGAAATTTTTAAAATCGCGTGTGCTAACAGATTTTATCCGTCCAAAATACAACATCGGTTACATCCTAAAGGTTAGTGATATTTATTTATTTTACAATGGATATATTTTTTTTTACATAATTACATATCGTTTTTTTTATACTAAAAATACCTACATTAATTAATTATTTAATATATGGTAATTAAATTATATTTAATAAATAAAAAATAAATTAATTGTAAGTAGTAAAAATCAGGTTTAGTCAGGCTCATAGTTAAAATTCTGTTTTTTTTTTACTCTTTAGGGATGTAAATAAATAAAATGTGCTTTTTTTTTAAATATTTCATTTATTGAAGGACAATATATCAGATGTTATAAATAATACTGTATTTTCAGTCACGAGACATGCAAATTATTTAATGAGAAAAAAAAACTTGTTTTGTAATATTTTATACAGCATTTTTTTTTTTTTTTGAATATATAAAAAAATATTTCCTGTAACAATCACAACTAGCTCTTTTTTTTATATTTCTCTTTCTTAAAAATATTATAAATTTTATCCATTCTTTCTTTTTTCTTTTTATAAAATAATTAAAGATTTTTTTCTTCCTGTAATTCAAGCACGACATAATTTTGTCATAATTTTTTTTTTTTGTAGAATTTATTAATTACTATATTAATTAAAATTTATAATATATTATGTATATATATTTTTTTTTACAAATTATACATTAGAAGAGTTATGACAATTTTTTTAAAATTATTATTATTTTTTTTTTTGTCAATTTCCTACAAATAATTTAACTTTTATTTAAAATTCTAATAATTATGTATGTAATATAAAATATTAATTTAATTACAAATAAACATATCAATATAAACTAAGACCATAAATAGTTAAAGAAATTTTTTTAAATAATCTTAAGATCAGATAATTTCCCTCATTTAAGCGTTGAATTATACAACAATCTGTAATACTTTCACAAGAAGCGTTTCATTTTTCCATTATAAAAGATAACAAAAAAAAAAATATATTTATCAGTTTAAAATAATTTTTAAAAAATATTAAAAATATTAAAAATCTTTAAAATTCGACCATAAAAGATTCCATAAAAATTTCGTGTTTTATACTGGAAATTTGGATGTTTAAAATAATCTTTTTCTTTCTACTTTTTTTTTTTATTTAAAAAAAAGACCTCGAAATTTCTATGGAATCGAGAGAAAATTTTTTTTTTTTTGATGAAATAGAGTAGAAAAATGTTGACATAATTTTTTTTATGTTTTGCAAGTTAAAATTCGTAGACTTTCACAGTTCACTTTTATATATATATATTGAAGAATTATTATTATTATTATTTTATTTATATATATATTATAGAAAGATTAATTTTCATTGTCATTCTCTTGATAAAATGAAAATTGTTTTTATTTTCTGGTCGAGAGATAATTTTTTGAACGAGCAGCTGAGTGAAAAGTCATTGAATGAAATATATTTTTGTTTTTTAGATGTGTTTTTTTTAGTTTGAAATTTTTTTTTAATAATCGCTGTCGAGAAACTCGAGATCCGACAAAAAATCTCTTATTGGTATTCTTCTGATCCTTAGCCTGTCTTTGATGCTGTTTTTCCTGTTTAACTTTTTATTATTATTATTATTATTTCCTCTCGTTGAAGCACTCGACGAGGCATAAACGTCATAAATATCATCTGTGCTTAGACCCTGAAAATAAATAAAAATTATTTTATTTTTGATTATAAAAGAAAAAAAAATTTTGTAAAAATAATTTTATAAACGAACTAGCAAAATTAAACGCGCGCCAAATTGAGTATTTCATTATTTGTTATAAAGAAATTAAAGATTAATATTATTAATAATAATTAAATTTATTTGAATATATTATTACATATTAAATGATAATAATGAAAATTATATGTTTACAGGCCTCGGATCGATTTATTTTAATAAAATGCGACATTTTTTTTACATTTGAAAAAAAATGTAAATAAAATACATTTTTTTAGTATAAAATTTATATCTTCTTCAGATCTTCTTCAATTCAATTATTTAACAAATTTTGAACTAAAATGATTCTTCACTAAATTAATTATTTTTAATAATTTTAATGAAATACATGACAAATTCAATTATATCAAAATTATTTTTCAATTAAAATTTTTATGAAATTTAACAATTATTTATAATTTAAAAAAAAATATCACAATAAAATTGAATTATTTTTCCAAAATTTCAATTCAAAATAAACATTATTACCCGAAATTTTAATTCAAAATCAATTAACAATCCAATAATTATCCACAATTTTCAATTTAAAACTTAATTATTTACCAAGTTTTCAATTTAAAATGAAATAAAATTCAATTATTTTCTAAAATTTCTATTCAAAATTAATTATCCAAATTTTCAATCAAAAATGAACTTAAATTAAATTATTATCCAAAATTTCAATTAAAATTCAATTATTTCCCAAAATTTTCAATTCAAAATGAACTGAAATTCAATTATTTTCCAAATTTAAAATCAAATAAAATTTCATTATTCTCAAAAATTTGAATTCAAAATTAATTGAATTTTCAATAATTTGAATTTAAAAGCATCTAAAATTTAATTATTTCCAAAATTTTCCATCGAAAATTTTTTTTTTGAAATTTAATAATTTCAATTATAACTCTAAGGAAATTCAATTATTTTTAACTATTTTAATAATATTCTTTGAAAATTCAACTATCTGAAACCATTTTTCAATTAAAAATGATTTTCAAATTATTGTATTTTGTCCGCATTTTCTAATAAATTTTTAGTGAAATTATCTAAAAGTTTAATTACAAAACACTTAAAGTTTCAATTGATTTCAAAAATCTCAATTTTAAATCTTTGAAAATTCAATTAAATTTAAAAAATGTTTTTCAAAAATTGTTTGATAAATTATTTTTAGTTCTGTAAAATTTAATAATTGTTTGAAAATTAACAATATCTTTTGAAATTTAATTATTTCTAAAAATTTCAACTTTAACCCTTCGAAAAGGATTATTATTAAAAATAAAATTTTTTTTTTTTAAATCTGTAAAATATTTTTGTTAAAATAAAAAACAAATCCACTTTTTTTTGGAATATAAATCGACTAAAACGACTTTTTGTGTCTTTAAGTTGATTCGAGGCCTGTGTTTTTATAATTAATATTTAATAGGTATTCGTTGGCCCCTGGTACCTTAAAAATTAATTTTTTTCAAATTACTATCTTGTACGAAATTTCCTGTCGCATCTTTTTTCTCATCATAAATTTTGTGTATTTGTATACATCCAATTTTTGAATCAATATACAACTTTAAAAAAAATTTCGTTGGGAAACGAATTTTCGAATTTGGAATTTTAAAGAAACTTATTCCGAAATTTGGAAACACAATTATACAACTTTGGCAAAAATGAGAAAAAGAATTATCAAAATTTGACACGTCATAAAATTACTATTCAAAAAAACACGTGAAATCAGAAAAGGCCAACTTCAAGTTAAGACAGAAGGACAGACCAAGCATTTTATTATTATATAATTAATAAAAAAAAATCGGACAAGTGCGAGTTACACTCGCACTGAAATCGAGGGTTCCGTACTCGAAGCGAACTTATTTGGTATAAAAACAAATGTTTAAAAAATATGTGTTGTATGACAACTAATATAAGTGATACAAAAAGGAACAATTTTGTAAAATTCAAGAAAATTGTTCCTCTTCGTATCACTTATATTAGTTGTCATACAACACATATTTTTTAAACATTTGTTTTTATACCAAATAAGTTCGCTTCGAGTACGGAACCCTCGATTTCAGTGCGAGTGTAACTCGCACTTGTCCGATTTTATTTTTTAAAAAATATTTTACTAAAAAAATATAAGAAACATAATTTTATTTCAACTCGCAATATTTTTATTGTATTTACATTTTAAAAATATATTGAATATTAAATTTTATCTTTCTAAGTCAAAAAGAGATAAAACTTAAGATATTGATATAAGGCTAGTAGCTGCTTGTCAAGGAAAAATCGAAAGTTATCTAAAAAATAAAATTTGTTTATTAATTCCAGAAAAATCAACTCCAATCATCCTCGCTATATTTTTTTTGTAATCTACACGTAAAAATACGTCAAAATACATAAATTTGAATCACTGTAGAAAAACTTTTTTCGTTTTTTGCGGAAAAATACATTTTTTTCTGAAATTTATCATTTTTCTTCAAAAATTTGATAAAAATTGATCATCAACTCCAATCGCGCTTACATTTTTTCCCTGTATTTTTCACGCAAAAATTGAATTTTACAGCAAGTATGAACAGTCTGGATTGAATATTGTGTGCGCTAGGGAGAATAAATCATTTTTTTCGAAATTTTTGATTTTTCCTTGACAACGCTATGTAAATTAATCTGAATCAAGTTCGCTATAATTTTCCTGTAATTTCCACGTAAAAATACGTAAGTGTGTCAAATTTGAGCTCTTTATGTCAAAAGATGTGGCCGCTAGGGGGGGGGTACATACTCATTTTTAGGTATTTTTCGTAAAAATTCATGGTTTTTCCTTGACAACGCTATGATAATCAACTCCAATCATGCTCGCTATATTTTTTTTGTAATCTACACGTAAAAATACGTTAAAATATATAAATTTAATTTCCTTTAAATAAAATTTTGTTCGTTTTTGGTGGAAAAATACATTTTTTTCCTAAAATTGTCATTTTTTCTTGAAAAACTTGATAAAAAGTTAATCATCAACTCTAATCGTGACCGCTTTTTTTCCCCTGTATTTTTCCCGTAAAAATACATTTGTATACTAAATATGATCTGTCTGGGTTGAATATTGTGTGCGCTAGGGAGAATAAATTATTTTTTTCGAAATTTTTGATTTTTCCTTGACAACGCTATGTAAATTGATTCGAATCAAGTTCGCTATAATTTTCCTGTAATTTCCACGTAAAAATACGTAAGTGTGTCAAATTTGAGCTCTTTATGTCAAAAGATGTGGCCGCTAGGGGGGGGGTACATAGTCATTTTTAGGCATTTTTCGTAAAAATTCATGGTTTTTCCTTGACAACGCTATGTTAATCAATTCCAATCAAGTTCGCTATAATTTTCCTGTAATCTACACGCGAAAATACATATGTGTACTAATTTTCAGCCCTCCAGATAAATTTATGTGGCCGCTAGGGGGGGGGTACACGATTTCAAAAAAACCGATATTAATAGGGTTCCGAACCGAGTACGGAACCCTAATAAGTTAAAATTTTTAATAATTTTAAAGAATAATAAAAAAATAAAAATAATTTTTAATTTTTAATAATTTTAAAGAATATTAAAAAAATAAAAATAATTTTTAATTTTTAATAATTTTAAAGGATAATAAAAAAAAAAAATTATTATTTAATGTAAAAATTAACACTTACATTATCTAATAAAGTCGTCCAAAGTCGAGAATTTTTCAATCCATTATACTCGTCATTAAACGATGGTGTTTTCAAATTTTTGAATTCGATTTCATGTTGATTTTTATGTCCAGGTTCAATGACAAATCTTTTTGTTTGCACTCCTCGACATTGACTGTGAAAGGGGTACATTCTGAAAATTTATAAAAAAAAAATTTTTTTAAATGTATTAGAAAATAAATTTGATAGAAAAAAAATTTTAAAAAGAAAATTAATTATAAAAAAAATAAAAATAAAGTTTGCTAAATTAGAAAATAAAATTGATAATAAAAAAAATAAAAAAAAAAAGTTTGCTAATTTAGAAAAAATATAGATGATAGAATAAAAAAAAAAAGTTTGCCAAAAATTTAGAAAATAACTTTGGTAATAAAAAAAGAAAAAAAAATGTAAGAATTATTATAAAAATTAATAAATAGCGTTTCAAATTCAAAAAAAAAATTTTCCCTCTCAAAAATTAAGTAATTAAATAAATTAAAAATTTGATAAAATTTAACTTACTCGCAATTGACAACTATTGCACGTGCTTGGGCGATTGTTATTAAAACACTGAAAAGAAATACGCATTCACGAAATGCCATTTTATCTGAAACAGAAAAATAAAAACGTACAAAAATTAGTATAATATAGAGGGGAATATAAAGACTATTATGAAATAAAAATAAGAATTTTTTTTTTTTTTGATCTTGTTATAACTCTTGTTGAAGGGATATGCTTTTTGTTTCTTCTAATTTCATTTCTTCGTATTAACAATTTTGGGGTGGGTTATGTGGGACGTGCGTTCAGTACATCCGGTATAGTAAAAGAAACTTTTTTTCTTCTCCATTATATATATATAGGGATCAAAGTTTATTCAGAAAAGTAAATATGATCCAAGTCATTGTACCTCAAATAACTCTCTCTTAATCTTTGTCAAACTTTGTGTAACGAAATTTAATCTTAAATAAACGCTTCTAATTTTACAAGACTCAAAGCATTATTTTCTTTTTGTTATTAAAAAGTTCCAAAAGTCGAGGCATTTATTATTTTCGTTCAAAATAAAATTCAATAATTTGATGTCAAAAATTTGTTTTTATATAAATTATAAAAAAACAATTATTTAAAAAAATTGTTTAAACAAATTATTTGTAAAAATTACTTATGGAAATTAATTTCAAGAAATTATTTTAAAAACTATTTTAAAAAAAAATTATTTAAAGTAATTGTTATAAAAATTATTTTAAAAAATTGTTATAAAAATTATTTAAAGAAATTGTTGTAAAAATTATTTTAAAAAATTATTGAAACAAATTATTCAAAAAGAACCTATACAAAAAAATTATTTAAAAAAAACCTTATTTAGAAAAATTAGTTTGGAAAAAAATGCAAAATTTATTTTTAAGTATTAGTAGTTATCTATCGATAAAAAATTATCTTAATTATTTTTTTAGATATATAGAAAAAACAATTTTCGAGGCAAAAAAATCTTATTAAACTGCTTAAAAAAAAATTTTATTTTGGTATAAATATCGTTTTCTAGATATAAAAATTATGGAATATTTTGTAAAATATGTTGTGTAATAAATTATAAAATGTCGATAAAAATTTGTGCTTTAAGAATATAATATAAAGTCCTCATCGTAAATGTTTTCACACCTGTTGCATCGTATTGTGTTTCCGCCCTCTTTTCACGGTCTGACAAATGCGTAAATTCAGTCTTTTTTTTTTTATTATAAACTTTTGTCAAAAATTTTAATATAAATTTTCCTCAATATAAATATTTTTCATTAATATAATATATTATTATTATTATTAATTATTTATTATATTATATATATATTATATATATATTATATTATTATTATTTTATATTATTTTTTATTATTTTTTATTACCTTTTATTACCTTTTATTACCTTTTATTACCTTTTATTACCTTTTATTACCTTTTATTACCTTTTTGTAGGTTTTTACATTGATTTTCAAAATCTTACATTATATAATATATTTAATGTTACCTCAAATGTCTATTATTGACGGAACTAGTATCAACTATTTTTATTTGTAGCTAATTTTTTTTTCATTTATCGTTATATTTTATGAGATCATAGAATATGAATGATAATTGAATGTAAATCAGTTGACATTCAGTCGTTACTATTATATTATATAGTTTATTTGTATATTTTAATATATCCTATTTCTCAGGCAACTCATTTGAGGGAACATATTGGATTAGAGAAATAATAAATAAATAAATAAATAAATGGTCTCATAAATTTTTCATTAATATGAAATAAATAGAATAAAAAATTAAAATACAAAAAATAGAGAAAAAAAAACTATTTTCACTATACAGGGGAAAAAAAATTTATCTGAAACAATGAAAGATTTTATCTGAAACAGCGAAAGATTTTATTAGAATAGTGAAAGATTTAACTGAAACAATTAAATGAATTTTCTATTCCAGTGAAATCTTTAACTATTCAAGGTAAAATATTTTATTCCTCGTGTAGGAGAAACAAAAAATTGTTTCTTTTCTTTATCATGTTTGAAGAAATATTTTAAAAAGTTGATCGCGAACAAATTTTTTCGCCAAATTTTATCTAGAATTAAATCCACTTTTTTTTTTTTATTATAATATCCAAAATATCTTGCCGGCGAAGAATTTACATATACTTTTGCGTTAATAACATCGGCGCCATGTAAATTTCTTCTTTTTATGTGCGTGCAGTAAAAAAAAACAGTAAAATGATGGATATGGAAAATAAATTTTCCATATATAAAATAACACATTTTATATACATTGTATATTTCTCTTTCGAGAGAAAGTAAATTAGAATTTACTATTAGTTTTTTTTTTCAATGGTAAAAATAATTTTGCAAATAAAAAAAAAATATTTTTTTTCTCACACACACTTTCAATTTATTTTGTGACCTTGAAAGTTGAAAATCAGAAGTATATAAAAATATACAAATAAGTATGTAGTAAAATATATATATATATACTGTTCTTTGTGACATTGCGGCAGAAAAAGAAAGGACAGACGTGGTTTTATGGGTCAGGAGCAGCGAGGTTATAAATATAAAAGTTTTGTGGGGGCAAATAGTAAGTGAAGCTTTTGGGAGCTTTCAGAAAATTTTCTCATCGTCTAGTCGTTTCGACTAAACAGAGAGCACTTTTCCAAAAAAAAAAAAAACACACACACATTAGATAATGGAAAGAGATTTTTAAATTTTATATGATTCACTTTTGTCTTTTGTAGATTAATTTTGCCTTTTAAAAAGTATATAGAGTAAAGTAGAAAAATATTTTTTTTTAATAAGCTCATACAAATTGTTTACCCCTTCATATTAAATAAATAATTAAATATAATATTTTTAATATCTTACATTTCATTTTATTTTACAACTCCAGAATATTATTTTTTAATTGCTCACTTTTTCAAAAAATTTGTTATTGAAGCTGTTATTATATTTTTATATTTGTGAAGAAAAAAAAATGGCGAAAAAAGCTTTTAAAAAAGTTTTGTTTTTTCGAAACTTAATATTTTTTTCTATTAAATAAACAAAAACAGACAAAAGAATACCATTTTGTATAACGTAAACTATTACTGAAAACGGAGGGTTATTGTTTTTCAGTAGTTTAAGTTGTCAATAGTCAGACAAATTGTGTTTCTTTTGAAATATTCTAAATCAGTGAAAAAAGTCATTTTTAGTCAGACAAATTATTGTAAATAAATTTTTAGTAGTAAAACTCGATGTTTAGTCGGACAAAATTTTCTAAATTCAATATCAGTAGAAAAAGTTATTTTTTGTCAGACAAAGTATTGTAAATAAATTTTCAGTAGTAAAACTCGAGGTTTAGTCAGACAGAATTTTCTATATATTCACTGTGAGTGGAAAAAGTAATTATTGGTACGACAAAATATTGTAAATCAATTGTAAGTAGTAAAAAACATGTTTAGTCAGAGAAAATCCTCTAAATTAGTAGTCAAATCTGTATTTAGTCAGACAAAATATTTTAAATTAATTTTCAGTATTAAAAACCAGACAAAACATTGAAAATTGATTGTCAGTAGTAAGAGCCATCTTTAGTCAAACAAAATATTTTAAATTAATTTTCAGTAGTAAAAATCGGGTTTAGCCAGACAGAATTATTTTTCTGAAAATTTTTCTTTGAAATCAGTAGTAAAATCCACTTTTAGTTTGACAAAATATTGTAAATAAATTTTTGGTCAGTAATGTAAATCGGAGTTTTAGTCAGAAAAAATTTTCTAAATTCAGTATCAGTGGAAAAAGTTATTATTGGTCGGACATAAAATTGAAAATTAATTCTCAGTAGTAAAAATTAGGTTTAGTCTGCCAAAGTCCTCTAAATTAGTAGTAAAATCTGTATTTAGTCAGACAAAATATTTTAAATTTATTGTCAGTAGTAAAAACCATCTTTAGTCAGACAAAATATTGAAAATTGATTGCCAGTAGTAAAAGCCACCTTTAGTCAAACAAAATATTTTAAATTAATTTTCAGTAGTAAAAATCGGGTTTAATCAGATAGAATTATTTTTTTTTTAAATTTTCTTTTAAATCAGTAGTAAAATCCACTTTTAGTCCTACAAAATATTGTAAATAATTTTTTGGTCAGTAATGTAAATCGAGTTTTAGTCAGAAAAGTTTTTCTAAATTCAGTATCAGTGGAAAAATTTATTTTTGGTCAAACAGAATATTGAAAAGTAATTCTCAGTAGTAAAAATTAGGTTTAGCCAGCCAAAGTCCTCTAAATTAGTAGTAAAATCCATCTTTTGTCAGACAAAATATTTTTAATTAATTGTCAGTAGTAAAAACCATCTTTAGTCAGACAAAATATTGAAAATTGATTGTCAGTAGTAAAAGCCATCTTTAGACAAACAAAATATTTTAAATTAATTTTAAGTAGTAAAAATCGGGTTTAGTCAGACAGAATTATTTTTCTTACAATTTTTCTTTTAAATCAGTAGAAAAATCCACTTTTAGTCCGACAAAATATTGTAAATAAATTTTTGGTCAGTAATGCAAATCGAGTTTTAGTCAGAAAAGTTTTTCTAAATTCAGTATCAGTGAAAAAATTTAATTTTGGTCAGACAGAATATTGAAAATTAATTGTCAGTAGTAAAAATTAGGTTTAGTCAGAAAAAAAATAATAATAAAACAAATAGTAAAAATTATTATCATAATTATAATAAAAATAATAATAAAAATATTAATAAAAATAATAATAAAAGAAATAATTATTATAATAATCAGAAGAATTATTATTAACAAACATTATATTTAATTTTTATTCATTGTAATAAAAATAAAAAAATATCATTAATAAACATATGTTATTATTTTTATTAATTTTATTATTATTAATATTATATTATTAAGTATAAATAATATATTATATAATTATATATAATATAATATTAGGTATATAAATGAATTATTCATGATAATAATAAAACTTCTCTCCATTATGTATATATATATATATAACGTGATACATTTTAATTATCACTGTCGTTAAATTAAAATGGATGGCAATTTTCACACGATTCAAGGAAATTATATTTTAAGCTCACATGCG